GAACAGTTGCTACCTATTTTATTATCGACTTAGGTCAGTCGCGGTTGGGACTCGAACCCACGACTGAATGAGCTACCGTGGCGGTTTAAATGCCGTCTAAGGACCATCGCATTCTTCCCGGTCCACCATGTCCTTAAGGATGTCGTCTCCGCCCAAGAAAATCCACCCGTCAACACCACGTGACACCAAGTCCAAAACAATAGTTTATAAAATTTGATCACATACAATTTTAGAAGGGTTTTCTAATATACTATTCAAAACACATCTATTAAAATACTAGATATAAGAAACAGTTTACGTCAATTTATTCCGTGAAACCAAGTCCCAAAACAATAGCTTATGTAAATCATATACGGTACCGATTTTGATGCGCATTTCGACAAATTATGTCTCTTCAGTTATGATTATGCCGAAAGGTTGGAAATCCGATAAAAAATTAATTAAAAAAAAAAGTTTGAAAGAGCTGAAAAAGGGTGCCAAAGGTTGGAGCCAAATGCATCGCAAGATCAGAGCTATGCACGAGGGAGATAATTCTTAATTTTGAAAGAAATTTCTAAATTTTACCACAGTAATTAAATATATATCCATATTTTCAAGCTAGTATCAAAGTACTTAGCTACTGCGCTGTAAAGAGTTAGAGACCCTCGGGGACTTAAAGTCCACCAGCGGAGGCCTCGACCCAGGGGTCATTATGTAAATCTTATACATGTACAGTACCAATTTTGATGCACCAAATTCGCATTTCGACATATGTTTCTTCAGTGAAATCCGAAAAAAAAAATTAATTTATAAAACTTGAAAGAGCTGAAAAAAGGGTGTCAAAGACTGGAGCCAAATACATCAAAGGATCAGAGCTATGCACGAGGGAGATAATCCTTAATTTTGAAATAAATTTATAAATTTTACCACAGCAATTAAATATATATCCGTATTTTCATAAAATTTGATCACCCTACAATTTTCACAGGGTTTTCTAATATACTATTCAAAACAAACAGGTTACATCAGAATACATAATATATTAACCGTTTTAACTTGTAGGTGAAATAGAACATAAAATTGATAAACACACATTCTCACTATATTGTTAACAGTTTTACAAAGAATTTTGTTGGCACGGTAATGCAAAGGGCGCGTATCCCTGTTTTGTTGTGATGAAAACGTCCTCATATTTTCGTATTTTAGTACAGCGGACAAAGTGAAAGTAGTATAATTATATACTACGGTAATTTTTTGAGCCTGTACGCAACAAAATACGTCTTAATAAAGAAAGGTATTACAGCTTGCGTATTTTTAGTTCAAAAGTTTTTGAGCGTGAAAATTAAATAACACCTAATCAAAAACCTGAATTTGCTAGAAATTTTGTTAGTCTTTATACGCCATTAAATCTGGCACCGTTTTAAAAAATACTTTCTATTCGTTTATTATAAAGTAAAAGGTAAAAATATCGAACAGTGACCGATCTCAAGAAATCCACAAACAGTACAAACATGAGAAGACGGTGGGATCAGTTGCCTCGTCGGAGTAAGCATTCCCTGTTGACCGGTCACATCCACCTTGTACCCTATGTATTGGTAAAGGTAGACGGAACTATCCATAGTCAATGTAGTACAAAAACAAAAATTGGTATGAAACAAGTCAGCCAAAATACTACTCGATGATATGTTATCTTTGCTAACAAGGTCAATATAACGACCATTAAATTTACGAAATGCTGACTTTAAACGAAGCTGTTGAAATACCTGAAACAACAACTTATCAGTGAGTTAATACATGCATTGATTTGCACCCGTATTAACAAGAAAGAAACGTTTATTTAACACCTTTACATTGGAGCTTGTCCGAGCCTCTTTTTCGATTCACACCTTACATAGGCGAAATCACAGGTACGTACGGTACAAGTAAAAATCGCAGATCCCTTACTGCTCAATGACCCTCAGTGCCGAGTAAAGGTCAAAATTTGAAGCCCTTCACCGGTATATAGTGACGTGTCTATACGAGTGAAAAATTCTCGAATGGGACGTAAAACAAAATACAATCAATCAATCAAAGCAATAATAGTTAAAAAAAATAAATAAAAATACTTCGTTACTTATTAAAAAAAATTAAATAGAAATTTTAGTGCATTTGTTCATCAAACTGATTCATCGATGTTATTAAGTCAGCGATGAATGTAGGCCTATTTATATTCCGATCTGAAGATTAACCGCGTGTTGATACCCTAGATTTCTGTCACGTGATGACGCCGATGTTTTCTGCAGGGCAAGCTATGCTGCACGTCACGGTTCAAAATGTAGGAAAAAATTATCCTTGTGTCATTCACAGCTGTAACATATTCAAAACAATGTTTTCCTAGTTGAACAACTTAAGATTTTTTATTCATCATGCACTTTTACCATCATTATTCGGAAAATCATCACAATTTACGTTTATATCTTACACCCTACCAGGTTGGGGAGTACCTATTGTAAACTCTTTTTATATAATAATCATTAATCAATAATTATCTGATGACAAATGAAAATTAAATTGGAACATAATAACAACATTAAAAACTTAGTTTAAAGCAAGTTTTAAAAATATTTTAACCATAATTTTATACGTTATCAGTAAAGAATTATTTTACTGAATTAATAAAGCAATAACGTCTCATTTCCCCATGTGCACTTTCTACCACAACCACAAATAGATCGGCCGCTGCTGCGGCCGGTAATAACTGACCAAACTAATCAAACAAGTTCGACGAGTATCCGAAGATAAATATAGTAACATAGACTAGCGTACATCTCAGTCACCATTAGAGCGTAAGTAAAACGAGAAGTCTGTGAGCCAATGCTCCAGTAATACCCCCGCTCTGATGTAAATATCCCACCATATGGCGTGCATAAACGAAGAGTCTGCTAGAATTTCAAGCATCTGCCTTGCGTAGTTGCTGAGAAAACTTGAACGGAAATTTAGTACGTACGAACGCTTGGATAAACAGGAAATCGACATTGAATAAGTAAAAAAAAAATTAAAAGAATCCCACCAAATGACATGCCTAAACAAAGAGTGTGCTAAAATTTCAAGCATCTAGGATGAGTAGTTGCTGTGAAAACTGCGACGAAAATTTGGCACGGATAGACGCATGGATAAACAAGAAATTGACATTGGATTCTTACAAAAATAAATCCTACCAAATGGCATGCCAAAACAAAGTGTGCTAAAATTTTAAGCATCTGCTAAGTGTAGTTGCTTACTGTGACGAAAATTTTTTACCGATAGACATACAAAGGTAAATCAGTATACCACCCTCTCCTTCATAGCGGGATATAAAAATGCAGAAAATGCAAGATTTATAGAAATTTTCAGTATATTTATAAATTGATTCCAGATAGAATATATTTTACATGAGTTCCTCTTTGCGGTTGGTATCCTCCTTAGATGGTTTACATTGCTGGCAAGCAGATAAATTACTATTTGAATTGCAATAAAAGTAAGTTTAAAGACAATAAACAGCTTTATTATCATGTTGAATATATACAAATGACAACATCTACACCACATAACGAACCTAACTACAACAAAAATTAATGAACATATAGTCATTGAACCCTCGTTATCTCGAACCTAAAAGAACCAACAAAAATCAAATACATATATAAAATGACTAGGATTTTAATTTTTTTTCCTTTTAAATTGCTGCGACATACCAAAGGTTTTAAAAGATTTAAAGTTCTAGAAAACGAAGTTCAACTGTAATGTCTATTGTAATTCCTTAAAATTAAAGTACTTTTTTCTTTATTTGTAAGACTATACAGAACTACAAAAATACACAAATGTCAACTTTGCGATAAAATGTTCCATCTGTACTTGTTCAACAACTGTGAAAATTAAATAGCTATACGTCTCTAATAGTGCGTCATTCTGCCTGAAAACATCGATCATTAAATAACCTGTCATAATATACATGTAAATATAATTGGGAAAATGGTAGGTCAGTACTTTTTGGCTAGAATATAGAATTATGTAGTTATTTATACATGAACATGTATCTGATTAGGGTCAGATGACACGTTCCTCAAACATCTATTTTGGATCTCTTTGTAATATACAACAAATTAATCATAATTTCATTGTCTTGTAATTTCTAAACTGTCTTTAAAATGTTTAAGTAAATAAAGACTAAAATAAATTGTAATTTTGCCAATACCATTGATTTCCAATAGGAAACAAAAAAATTGTAATATTGCCAATACTAGTGATTTCCAATAGGAAACACCTCCTGGTATTTGCACAAATGCCTGGTAAGGTACCTTAATTTTTTGTGAGGAATCTTTTTAAAGCAACAATACTTTACTGACAAATTATTCTTGGGAAAAAATTAACTATTATATAGGAACGGCCGTCTGACCTTAAGTGGCGTTGACTATACAGTTAGTATACTTCCACGTTTACTTACAAATTTTAAAGAAAAAAAATTAGAACTGGTATTTAGTATGCTTTCTTTGCTTGGAGGAAAACTGTAAGGTTTATGTATTTTTAAACTGTAAGGTTTATGTATTTTTAACAAAAACATGCCTATTTATCATTTTATATTACCTGTGTATATGAATTCAAAACTCTTAAATCATCTTTACACTCTCTTTTCTCTGAAATGCTATGGTGTGAATTTCGATGAATTACTACTTATTATATTTGTACATGTAGCCCCAACCCCGCTTGCCTTCAACACCTTCTCTTACGGTTTGCGACGACAGGATACATCTTATTACAGACTACTTGAAGCTTGAAAAATGGTCAATACATAATAAGAAACAACATTTATGGATACATAAAAATTGGTACAATATATTTTGTTTTCTGCATTTGAGAAGTTAAGTCATGTTCTTTCCAATCTATATTCGAATGCAGTCGGCTTCATTCTATTTTTTCGGATCTATGACATAACAGGCAATTTTCTGATTATACTTTTCCTCCATGGCGCGCCTTTGCTGTTTGTTCCAAAAGCAGAACAATCGTTAAAGATGGTACCGCGGCTCGGTGAATCTCCAAACATAAAAGACGGGATTGCAGGCGCTGTTGAAAAGTAACATCATGGAAACAATGATGTAAGATGTTTTGAAAAATGCCGAGTCGGAATCGAATGGTAAAGTATAGATGATCATAAAAGGAAAAAATGCCATTAAGAATACGCCAATGATTATGGATATTTTCCTGGCAATTCTTGTTTGCTCTCGGGCAAACATGGTAGACTGGGTAGGATCTTTGTTGTCAGAGGATCGACCTACCTTACGCCGAATTTGGACAATCAAGTAAACAAACATGACGAGATTAAAGGCCACGATGATTATAAGTATACTCTTACAAGTAAATGTTACAATATTCCTCTTCACACCGGACATCATGATGCAAGATATCCCGTATTCGTCATTTACATCGAAGAACAGGCCGTAAGTTACGAAAAGACCAATTACCCATAATGCAACGGAAAGTTTTATGATCAGTTTCTTATTTATGAAGGAGTAGTATCGCATTGCTAAAACAAAAACAAAGCAACGATCCACATTCATCATAGTGACGATAAACAGCGATACTGTGATGAAGAGAAAGCTTGGGTACTTCTTGATGTCGCAGTGGTACCTCTCATAAAGCATGGTGTTGGGTATGCTGAGGAAAATCCCCGTCAGAAAATCAGACAGAGCCAAATTAAGAGACATGATTCGAATTTGGAAGCTTAGTCGGGTACAGATATACAGCAAGCCGATAGAAATAACATTTTCTACCACCATAAGGATTCCAAATGGTACGAGCATGGAGTCGGTCAGAGGCGGCACAGGTAAGGTATAATTTGTCGATGTATCATTTTCCATTAGTGCATTCAACAGATTTCCAGGCATGTCCGATTGATTCATTTTGATGAAAGATAGATAGATTTTTATAATTTGCAGTACAGTTAAATCATAAGTTGACCCAGGTACCAGGTGGAATGTTGTAAAGGAATACAGCAGGAGTTATTGGTATTTATAAAGACATACACCTGCCATTCATCATGTCGTCACCCAATAATGTTCAAGCAGAGTATTTCTTGGTGTCTAAAAATACATTTATAGGAAGGTTGAATTTTATTTTTGAGTAAGGAAATCTATCTTTTATTGGGTACGTCCAAATAATTAACTTTTTTCAAAATTACATGTATATGATTTTGCGTAACGAAAGGATGATTTGCATGTAAAACAACATCACTTACAACAACCATAATTTTAATCACATTAAGTGAAAAGTCATAGAATAATTTCGAAAAATATTTGTTGAATTTGAATGTATTTATGAAGCGTCGATTAAAGAATGAACAATCTTTTGTTGAAGACTGCAATGAAAGGGTGACTTTTGAGGGTGATTAAACTCTCTTTAATCAGATCTGAGATCTGAGGCCCGGATTGGATGATCGTTTTTCGTGCGACGTCAAACAGGTCTATGATATAAACGTAGGTATTGACTATTCTTTTGCCAAGCACCCGGCACTAAAAGTGAAAGTAAGGGGTGTTTGGGAGGAGACTTTAAAAAACCGAAGTGCAAGGCCACGGAAGGCGCTGTCACGATAAAATCCCTCACTGCTCAATGCCCAGCGTGAAGAGTATAGGTCTAAATGTAAAGCCCTTCAACAGCAAACAGTGACGTCTCAAGATGAGTGAAAAAATTCTCGCTTGGGTCGTCAACAGCATACAAATAATGAATAAGATTTTATTAAGTTTCATTTTATTATCGAGTTATTGTATCATAAATTTTATTGTAGTAAGCCCATGTATCTTCATATCCATTTATCTTTCTTGTCGAAGACGGCTGCAAATTTAGATCTATACTCGGCACTAAGGGCTTTTGAGCAGTTACGGATATTTTCGTGCAAGCACCTGCTGCGACATGGGACCTCCATCTATACGCATTTTGGTTTCATCGGTAGGACCGGACTCCACGTCCCGCAGTGGGATTCGAACCTGTCACGTAAGGATGAACTCTATGCCCTAACCAATGCCAACTAGTAAAATTGGCATTAAAATAGCTTCAATGTTTTGACTCCAAAATAAGCATTAACCAAATTTGGAAATTAATTTCAAAATTAAGGATTATCTCCTTCATGCATAGCTTTGATACTTCGACGTATTTGGCACCCCCCACCCCCTGTTTTTTCAGCTCTTCAAAGTTTCTTTTAAATATTTCTGATTTCCAACGTTTCGGCATGAGCATCATTGAAGAGACATAATTTGTCGAAATGCGCATCTGGTGCCTCAAATTTGGTACCGTATATTATTTATATCAAAATAATATTTTAAATGGAAGTAGGTCACAGCATGTAGGTATCCCAAACTTCTTAAAGCAGGTGTCCTCTCTGTCTTCTTACGTATCATGGCTAAATAAGGAATCCCATCTCTAGTATGTTTTGTTTCCTTTGTTAACTTAAAATTAATTTCTCTGTAATAAAAAGGAATGTTATTTCCAATTTTGCCTATTTTTCACGAAGGTAACATAATTATATCTACCGAAGGGTACAAAAAGTGAAGTAATGTTAGGGATGATTAATTTGTGCCGCAGGAATAATCAATATTTTCCACCTATAATTATAACTATTTTCTAACGTGTGGATAAATAACTTTTTTTTTTATAAAAATAGAAATAATTAATTATTACTGTGTTCATTATAACCACACAACACAAATATTGCAAAATAGCTTCCATTTCCTATCACATATTTGCAATATTCAATGGACTTAGATAGCAATGCTTTCTCCTCTGGTACAAGGCCATTGTTGGCTCGTATGTTCATCAAATAAAGCAGTGGCTATTAGTCCAGAATAAACCCTTTAATATGAAGTGAATATAATGCTATTTATTTTTAAGGCTAATTTTAGTGCTAACCCGGGTAGGAAATGAGCTTTATAGGGTGCGGCGGTTTTTTAATCGAGTGTTCTTCTTGATAACCCAGCGCGACGTGTGGATTTCTCCAGTTCAAAATAACAAACTCTGTGGAAGATTTGTAGGTCTCTCATTTTTTTCTTTTGCACGCTTATAGATTATATTAATACATGTAATTATGGATAACCGTTCTCACACACATGCCTGTACACTCTAAAAATATGCAAAATGTTAATCCTTCATTATTTGGCATTGATCAATACATTTATCATTTATATATATTTATATATAAATGTGGAATAAGCCCCCTCCCCCTACTCCAACCCATTATTTTTTGTTTTTAAATTATCAATCACAATTTGATATTAAATCTGCATTACAAAAATATTACTGTTACAAAGTTCTGAATGACTGATACATTGGATTTTTAACTTGCATGTGAAGATTTCTTTTTTGTTGATGGACAATATAAACATTTGTGATTAGTCTAGCCAAACTTATGCACGTGCACGTAAAAATTTCTCTACCTTGTTACACATGACAAAGATTTGTTAGATGTGATAATCCTTAACATGTGGTAGTTTAATAACGTGCTGTACTTATCTACTTGACCGTAAATTTAATATTATTCTTACAGCTTTCATGAATATTTTGTTTACTTTGATCATTGATTATAAACTTGAATCTGTAAACCCGTGAAGCAAGTCCAACTTAAAGATACTGTAAAGGAAACAAAAGCATAAATATTCCTGCAAGCCCCCCCCCCCCCCTCTTCCCACATACGAAGAGGTAGAATTTCCAAGTGCAGTTTCCAATTAGGAATCTGGCATCCACAGGTAGCATCAGAAATATCAAAGGAATCGCAAACATTTGTAAAATGAACGTGTGATGTGAAAACACTAAAAAAAAGAAGATGGGCGTGTTTGGCGTGTGATCTGCAGGAATAAGGCGTAAGAAACATTTATAGTTGACATGTCCACGATTTGGTCGGCTGACCACAGCTGGACATACTTTACAAAGTCACGCACATGGGAAAATGTTACATTTTAGTTTGAAATACTTTGTCAAATATAATGTATCAGTCCGCTTATCTTAATGATTACTACAGCATGAAAACTTAGTAACGCTTGACATAAATAATAAACACCTATCATGGCCGTAGGAACCGGGGGGCCGTGCCCCCCCCCCCCAATAATTTTGCCGACAATAGAATACTATAGAAAACATAACTACTATAAGCTTGTGCCCCCTCAATAATAACTGATGACCTTTTTTTTTTTTTTTTTTTTTTTTTTTTTTTTTGCTTTTCAAGGAATTTTGGTACTTGGTAGTGCCCCCTCAACTGAAATGTGTGGTGTTGTGCCCCCTCAAAGTGAAATTGCTTCCTACGGGCCTGTCTATGGAGTATAGTTAAATGCAATTACAAGTACATGTAAATATTAAAGCATCAGTAGGTTGGAAGAATTGCTTTCGCTTTCAGTGCAACAGAACCAGAATTTATCTATTTGAAAATAAATCAGTACATAAAACTAAACTGACAAAAGAATTGATTGTGTGCACCCCAAAAAAAAAAGATTATAATAACGCTCCATGCGAGGATCGAGCAAAAATATTTCTTTACATTGCACTGGACGGGTAACGCATACTACTGAGCTATCAACGCTACATACATGATTTTATCACACCGATCGGCCAATTTCATACTGTCAATGGAATTTTTCTCTTGAAACAAGGAAAAATGTGCCACAAATGGTTTGAATTTTAGTGTAACAAATCATGTATGCATAAAATATATGTTAAAAAGAATATATCTACGAATAAAACATATGAGCCCCATATGTTTCCATAAACTGATACAGCATTGAATATGAGTGTACAAAAAAAAATGTCAGTGGTGTTACTATTTTTGTTTTTGCTACAAAAGAGTTATCAATCCTGATAATGGATCATAACAGTTCTGAGTTATATTACATCACTTCTCATCAAAAACAACAGAAACCGTTCCTTGATATTCATGGTCACAACATATTGATGGACTTCTGCAGTAGAGGAAAGTAGACTAGTACAAACTTTTTATGTCAGTAGTGTAATATTTTAATGTTTTATAATGTACATTAAAATGTATCGTAATGTTTTAATATTTACCCTGCGAAATAGTTCCTTAAGAACTTTGAAAATAAATCGTTTTGAGGAATGATGTTTACAAGAAGTGATAAATTATCATTTTTTATCAATAATTACAAAAGTAAATTACGATTTTAATTTCAAATTTTAAACGTTTAAAAATTGTACAAGAATCTTGTACAACGAGCGTTGATAGAGATGTTTGAAGCATAGTGACAGACAAATCTGGATGAATTAATGATAGTATCTGGAGCAACTAGCATGAATAACGCGCCTGATCTACCCCTAGCTAACTTGGTCAGACAACCAATTTCTCTGTAACTCTATTCAGCTATTGAGTTTAAAATTTTGTGCAATGGTTGTCTTACTTTGTTTTTGTAGAGAACAAAGCGACAGACGAAAACAACTTTAAAGTTGGAGTGTGTGAGATATTGGGGTGAGAACTTGAAATTTAGAAAGCAAGAACTGTTAATGGTCTGAGGTGATAGAGATTTTACCTTTTCCAAAAATCTTATTACTACTTATTTAACCTTGAAGGATTTGTTGAAGAAAATATCATCTCACATCTTCCACTTTCGAATGAATTTAAAACCAGCGAGGTACATGTAAGGATCAAATCCTTACTCTGCGACTCTACGAGCAAACGCTGTAACCACTGCCAACATGTGACAATCTGCATTTCAATAGCTTTCAGTGAGTTCTGTTAAGCGATGTTTAAAGAAACTTGACCCCATAATAAGCACTATACAAAACAAAAACAAAACAAACTCCAAACGGAAGTACGAGTGGTAATCATAAAGTTCGTGGACTGATAAAATCAATACTATGTAGTCGTTGATTACAAAATTTATGGGGAGCATAAAAC